AATGAATACGTAATTTGAACAGTCTATCAAAGTCCATGTTGGTATGCCTTGACCACTTTTTGTTTGCATTTGATTTTATTACATGAGTTCTTTTCTTGTTTACATTGATCATCTACGTTATCCAGTGTGTTTGGATGCTCCATTGAGTCTATCTAATCGGAGTATAGGAAACTCAAAAGTGTGTGAGTTGATTTGCATGTATTCTGTGTTACTGGAAAATCTGCCTGCGCAAAGCTTAATATACCTTTAGGGCTTTTGCTTGGTAGTTGATTAAGTTTTGGACTGCTAGAATGAATGCTCAATAGCCCACTTTTTGTTCCTAGGAAAGCAAGAGCATGCTAAAAAAGCCAGGTGAAAGACTAATTTAATGATCCTCAATTTGCCGGAAGATTTGGTTTCTAAAAAGAACCCCTTTCTCGGTTGTTGATCTGTTCTAACAGTTTCTTCTCTTTTGGCTGTTTGGTGGATATTAAATGGCATTTTGCAGCTTGCTATCTCAACCATTATATGGTTTGTTTAACTTTTTGCAATGTGTTATTCTGATTTTTTTCTTTCTTTTTCAAATTTATCATTATTTTGCTTTGTATTGTATCGTTGAGATAGAATTGTTCATTGAATCCTTATGCGTTTATCTCATTTTTTCTCTTTCTCTTTTCATCTCTGATGTCATCGACTTGAAATTTCTCCAAATCTCAAGAAGAATGTCTGATTTGGTTCTTTCATGTGCTGTTATCACTCCTCTCTCTCTCTCTTTCCTGCATTGGCTGTTTCATTTTGATTCCCTTTGTATATTTGTTTGATTGAGACTGCAGGTGCCTGATTTTGAATCTTTTTTTTGCTTTTCAAATTTATCATCCTCCGTCATAACGTTTATCTCCCTTTTTATCTCTCTCTTTTCCTAATGGATGTCATCAACTTCGAGTTGCTCCACATCTCAAGAACAGTCTCTGATTCGGTTATGTAACATGTTGTCAACGCTTCTTGCTTTCTCCTTCCTTCGGGTACTATTTCGTTATGATTCCTCTCATATCTTTTCTTGGTCAAGACCGTAGGTACATGGACCATGAATCTTTTTTTTTTTTTTTTCCTTATTTATCAATATTTTGTTTTGTTTTTATATTATTGAGATGGAATCGTTTGTTGAATCGTAATGTTTCTACCTCCAAAAATTTCTCAAGTATGCTTTATTTCCTGTGTTGGCTGTTTTGTTTTGATTTGTCTAAAGTATGCTTTTTCTTTTTTTTTTTCTTTTCATATATTTTTGTCTTTTTTTTTTTTTTTTTTGAAATAATTTTCATATATTTTATACATTCTTTTCTCTTTGAAGTTAAAGCATCAAATAAGCATTCTATCAAAATTAAAGGTTAAAGACTTTAAATTTCTAGATCTAAGGTAGAGGATAAATTCTGATAAGTGAACCAATAGCCTCTTTCTCTTTCTTTTTTGTGTTTGCTGTTATCAATTTTTTCTTTCAAATTTTTATACCATATTCCTTGCTTGTACTCATACAACATTTTGTGGGTAATTTTTTTTCAGTAAACTATGGTTTGAATTATCCTGTTAGTTATTACAATGTTGCATGTGACTATTGTATTTGAATTGTGCACGACAATATCGATTTTCATCGTATAACTATTAATTGATTGTGTAGTTCCTGCAAAATTTTGACATATGATTTAAGGATAGTAGAAAAGGATTCGATTTCAGAATAATCAAGTTGAATTTTTGCCAGTCAGGTTAGAGACCTTATGAGATCTATCCTTTTGTTGCAGTTTTTCAAGAATCGGTAACGGTTCGGTTCCCATGAGATCTAGTTTTATAGTGTGCGTACGGTCATATGGCACTGGGAAAGCTCATATGTGGCGTTCCATGCCTGATTGGTTGTGTTGAAGGAATGAGAGTGAGATGTGCGGAAAAATTGTGAGATGAGAAAAAATTATTTGTTATTAGAATTGAGAAAATCAAATATTGTAATTTAGGTGTCTGATCTTTGCCATGGCGGGTGCGCTCTCATGGCAGGTCAAAAAGTGCAATAAAATTTATATCTTTTTGGTTTTGGGGGGATGAGGAGATGGCACGGGATATTAATATATTATTTTGGCCCGGCTCTCCCTATTTCCCATTTGTCTGCATGTGTACTATTTTCTTTTTCTAATTCTTATATTTATTTTCTGACAATTAATATAAATTATATCCTGACGTAAATTATATAATTTACGATTCTAACCTTTGGTATGGCGGGTGCCATGGCATAACATGTCAAAAAATGAAATAAAGTTCACCCTATTTTTAGTTTTTAAGGGATTGGGAGATGCGACGGGATATTGACATACTATTTCGACTCGGATCTCCCTATCTCCCAATTGTCTACATGCATACTTTTTTATTTTTCTTACTTCTATATATTTTCTTACCAATGGCATAAATTATATATTTAGATAAATTATATAATTTATGTGTATGACCTTTGCTATGACGGGTGCGCTAACATGGCAAGTCAGCCATACAAATGTAATAAAATTAACATTTTTTTGGTTTTGAGGGGATGGGTAGATGACAAGGGATATTAATGCATTATTTTTGCTTGGCTTTCTCTATCTCCGATTTTTGTGTATGTATACTTTTAACTCTTTCCTAACTTTTATATTTATTTTTTGATTAATTGTCTAAATTATGTATTTATATAAATTATATAATTTAAGTTTTTGACATTTGTCATGACAGATGCACTCGCATGGCAAGTCAAAAAGTGCAATAAAATTCACATCTTTTTATGTTTTGAGGGTATTGGAAAATGGCATGGGAGATTAATATATTATTTTTGCTAGGCTCTCCTATCTTTCATTTGTCTGCCTGTGTACTTTTGTCTCTTTCTTAGTTCTTATATTTATTTTCTAATCAATAGTATAAATTATTTACTTAGGTGAATTATGTAATTTACGTGTTTGATCTTTGCAATGGTGGGTGTGCTTGCCTGGCAGGTCAAAAAATGTAATAAAACTCACGTTTTTCTCTTGGTTTTGGGGGGATTGCGAGATGGGACAGGGTATTAATATAAAAATTATATTATTTATGTGTTTGACCTTTGCCATTCGCATGGCAGGTCAAAAAGTGCAATAAAATTTAAGTTTTTTTATTTTGGTTTTCGAGAATGGAGAGATGACACAGGATATTAGCTCTTTCTATCTCTGATTTTTCTGTCTGTGTACTTTTTTCTTTATCCCAACTTTTATTTTTATTTTTTGACCAAAAGTATAAATTATGTATTTATGTAAATTATATAATTTACGTGTTTGATCTTTGCTATGGTGGGTGTACTTGCATGGCAGGTCAAAAAGTGCAATAAAACTTACGTTCTTTTTGGTTTTGGGAGAATTAGGAGATCGGACGGGATATTAATATGTAAATTGGCTTAGGTCTCCCAATCTCCCATTTGTTTGCTTATGTACTTTTTTTTTCTTCCCTATCTTTTATGTTTATTTTCTAACCAATTGTATAAATTATATATTTATGTAAGTTATATAATTTATGTGTCTGACCTTCTCCATAGCGGGTGCGCTCGTATGGCAGGTCATAAAGTGTAATAATATCCACGTTTTTTCTTGGTATTTCACAAAATCTGAGTATGAGTGATTATAAAACGACTGCAAAACAACAAAGTTGCTGGATGACGTCACCCACCCAAAAAAAAATTAAATTTAAATTAAAATTGGGAGTTTACTGGATTCTGCTGTAATTTTTAATGTATCAGATGTCTCTGGTCACTTCGCTTTGGTAGGGAGGGAAGGAGGTAGGTGCAATTGCTCGACGTGAAGATTTTATAGCGGAGAAACAATGGAACCGTGAGCTTCCTATCATTTATCTCTCTCTGTTTCCCTCCCCCTACCACCTACTTTGTTGCATTTCCTGCATTTTCTGTGCGCCAAGCAGAATGTATTCTTAGAAAAAATCGAGATAAGCTACTGGGATAAATAATGTATAAAAATAAACCTGGTGGAATTGGTTTTTTCTTTTTTTGTGTTAAGCCTGCTTATCTAAATCTGAAGTTGGGAGTTTATGGTAAATTAACAATTTGTTGTTCTTTCTGGATTTTGATTTGCAGTATGTTCCTAAAGGCCATGTCTTTTTGTTAGGGGACAACCGAAACAACAGCTGCGACTCCTATGATTGGTACTATTCTCAAACTTTTAGAGGGATAGTTATTATAGATGATTCAGTTTAGAGGTTGAAAATGTGCTTTTTTTTTTAATGCTTTTAAGGCGATTATTCTCTGCTCCCTGTTTTCGACTTACTATTTTTTGAATGTTGATTGATGAGCAGGGGACCTTCCTGTTAAAAATATTGTTGTAAGATATGTTATGAGTTGCTACAGACCTTTAAACAGGTGGAAAGTAAGTAGGAGAAATTGTTTATAAATCACATGGCTATAAGTAGGAATTGATTGATTAATCTCTTAAACGAACATAACATGTAATCGTTTATTAGTTGTTTTGTATCTCAAGTTGACATATGAAATTATTCGATTCAACTTATATGTTTATAGTTTTTGTTTAAAACGAATGTTGGCTCCTTAAATGAAGATTCTCGAAAAAATTTAACTCGATGTAAAAAGCAAGAACAACTTGATCGAGGCTTTGAAGAAATCCATCATATAACTAATAGGAGCTAGTTTTCCCTGGAAACTAAGACTTAAGATGCGAGAATTCTTGGAAACTCGAGCGGAATTCTTCGAGTTTCTCTACATCTCATGAAAAGTATTATGTTCTCTCTCTCGTACAATCCCCTGCAAGTACCCTGTCTGATCTGGTCTTTTTTAGAATCTCGGATTTTTTGATAGCCAGATACAATCCATAGTTGAAGTGGCATTCGATCTTTTTAGATGTCGATAAGATGCAAGATGTGAAGGTTGAGTTCTCTAAAGAGTTGTCTTGTGCGTTCCATTTTGGCTCAATTCATTTCCAAGAAAATATGTGTCTTTGAGTTTTTGTTTGAAGCAATAACTGTCTTCTTACATTGAGTTTCTTGAGAAAATTTTACTTAATAATAAAAACCATAAGGAGTTGTACGTTCATGTTTAGCTTAATGTTTTTTCAAGAACCACTGTTGCGTCTTGAGTTTTTGTTTAAAACAGATTCTGACTCCTTGAATATGGACTTTTGAGAAAGTTTTATTTGATGATAAGATACGAAAGGTCGAGTTCTTTCATGGAGTTAGCCTTGTGGGTTCTATTTTGGTTCAATTTCTTTTAAAAAAATATTATGTCTTGAGTTTTTGTTTAAAGTACAGACTTTCTTCTTCCATTGGGTCTCTTGAGAAGATTTGATTTAACAATAAAAACTATAAGGACTTGTTAGCTCAGTTTTTTTCTTAGAAATATTGAGTTTTAGTTTAAAATGAGTATTGACTACTTGAATTAGGATTCTCGAGAAGGTTTTATTTGATGATGAAATCGAGAAGGACTTGATGAAGGTTTTGAAGAGATGCAATTACTAATAGCGAGCAAATTTCTGTTTAAACTAAAATTAATGTATAGAAAATTCTTGAAAACTCATGACAGATATTCTTTGGGTTTCTGCACATTTGAAAAACAACGTTTTGGCTCAATTCATTTATAAGAAATCTTATGTCTTGAGTTTTTGTTTAAGCCAAAAACTTTATTTTTTCATTGGGTTTATGGAGAAAGTTTTTCTTAGTGGTAAAAACCATGAGGACTTGTGGGTTCATTTAGCTCAATTTTTTTTTTTTTTTTTCAAAAGTTATTGCATCTTGAGTTTTCTTTCCCTCATATATCTAATTTACTTTATTAATCTGAAAGATGAATAATGAAGATATTTATTTAATTTATTTGACTTATGTATCCCAAAGTTCCTCCCCGGGACCCACCAAAGACTACCTTTCCAATAAAAGTCCACACTTCTTGTACTTGATTGGGCATTTCCATAGTGCCCTTTAAATTTTTCCTTTGATCTTCTTGACTACTCCTGTCAAATTCTGGGGTGTTGTCCCTTCTTCTTGTGGTTATGGACTCATACCTTGATTCCGTCACAGTTTCTGATGTCTTCATCTGACTTCTGTGGTAGGGAAATATATGCTAATGAAAGAAAACATTTTTGGGTTTGATAATGTTACATGTCTCGATATCCTGTAGCTTGTATCTCATGATACGAAAAGGATATCTTGGGAATATGCAATTATTGGCCCATTTTATTTTTGTTTCTCCACAGAAAACGAACGATATATACATATACGTTTATATATATATATTGATTTTAGTTGTAATTCGAAAAAACCGAAAGCAGGAAGAATGGTAAAGGAAAATGGAGGCGACATCTGTTAAGAAGAAGAAAGAGTAAGAGCAGAAGTTTGCTTGATATGGTGTTTTCTTGGTTTCTTACAGATGTTCTTGACGGAGATCTTTACAAAGACAAGGTTATGCTTCATCCCTCCGTATCTCTTTATACACATATATGCATATCTATATGATTGATTGGATTAATAAGAAATAATAAATATTGATGAAAGTCATATATGCAAAAAATGAGCTAAACAAAATAGTTATCCATTCTTTCTCTCAAATGTATTTGAGTTAATACTAATTACTTCTTAGCTGAATGGTTGATAAGTTTTTTGCTATATTCCTGTGTCTCATTGTTTAAATGTTATTTTTTTTATTGTATTATGATTGATTGTTATGCATTACTTATTGATTCTCAGAAAGTGAAAATTGATTTTTATTAATGATTTTAAAGCTTCTAAATATCCTATACAAATGACTGGTAATTACTTATTGTATTAGTACTTTTAACTTGTTGTCTCTCAATATACAGGTAGATACATATATATGTATGTATACCACAGGTCAGAAAGATTATTAAGAGTTCCGAATCAGTTTAGAGTTGCCCGAAATCCTTCATTCCTTCGTTGATTGAAGAAATACGTTTTGATAGGAATCAATTTCTTAGGCAACACCAACTTGTGAAATAGTGAACGTTGAAATATCTGAATGTTATAAGCCTCCCAATAACTTGTTCTATACATTTACAGCGAAAAGTAATAATCCACAAAGTGTATTGATGATCTCAACAGGCCAAGCAGACCTCATCTCATTGCTCATGTTTACTGGGTAGATAAATATAAGCCTGATTGATGCTCTATGCTCTCGTCGAAGCCTATTGCGGGTGAGGATGACATAGGAACTTGTAGGAATTTGTTACTTGGAGAAGATAATAGGAAAAGCACGAACAAAAAAAGAAATGTTTTTATGAGTTTATCTCATTAACATGACCACGAGTGTTCGAATATGGAAAGCAATAGACCCGAAGCTCAAGCAGACAAAATTGAATATAATCAAGAATGTGTGTCAACCGATGTCTTATGTAAGTGGTAAAAGTACTTTTACAGTTCAAATGAATTAATTATTCCAAATTTTGGTTCCTTCTAATTTATAGCTAGTCATTTCTCTTTGCTATTATTACAGGGGAGTAAATCAGATTGTGTGTCAACCGATGTCTTATATAAGTGGTAAAAGTATTTTTTCCGTTCAAATGAATTAATTATTTCAAATTTTGGTTCCTTCTAATTTATACCTAGTCATTTCTCTTTGCTATTATTGCAGGGGAGTAAATTAGATTGTGCGGCTTATTTATCTGAAGAGATTGAAACTCCGGTTGTTTCAAATATCTTAAGCATAATTTCTTCTTTCAATTAAATGATTCCCGGGAAGCTGCAAATTTAAGTTTTATTAGAACAAGAGAGTGTCACCATGATAAAACTACGAAATTGATTTGGGGACTTTCAGGGACTGGCAAGACAAGGCATACGCGATCCAGAAGAGAATTGGAGACAAATACGTTTTACAAAAAGAGAGTGGATTTGCTGTAAATATTCGCTCTGTTGTTGGATTTCAAGGTGGCAAGGAGGACGTGATAATCATATCTTCTGAGAGATCCAATGGAACTAGATCAATTGGTTTTCTTTCGAATAATCAGAGTGTCAGTGTAGCTCTAACTCGTGCAAGGTATCATACCGATCAGAAGATAATAATTCAGATCTAGCATATTTGGCTTTCCGTTTCTTTATCACTAAAACCAAAGGGTATTATATGCTTACATGTACTGTATGGATGGATATTAGGGAATGAGACAACTTTAAGTAATAGAGTTCATTAGGAGAAACTGATAAATGATGTCAGACAGCAAGGATGTCTGCATAATGCCAATGAAGATAAAATCTTGTATGAGGCACACTTGCTGTTGTGCTGGTTGAAATCGATCAAGTTGATATGGTGTTAAAATCCCTTGGATCTCTGAGCTTAAGGGATAATCACAGAGAATCAAAATCAACTCACAAATGAGTGGTTAAATATGAGTGTTATCTGAAAATTTTGATAAAATCTTCTGAGATAAATCATGTAGACTAGTTTGATTTTTTTTTTTTAATTTATTAATTTTATAGTGATTATCATCATTCTTGTTTAAAAATACAATTGTTGTTTTGATTTATTTTGTTGATAATATTTTGATTTTCGAGTACAATTTCAGAGGAAGTAGAGGGAGTTGATTCTAGTGGAGGAAAGTTGAAGTTATCTGCTTCAACTTTTCTGTGTGGTATTTCAATTATCTTCTCTAAATGTAAATTTATGATATAATTACTGAAAATTTTTGGAAGATATGATTCATCTCTTTAATTTCTTTATTATCACAAATACATGAATATTGTATATATAACAATTACATGCTATGATAATCCTAAGCATCTTTTTAATTTTTGATGTCTTCATTATCGATATCTTCAAATTGAAAAAAGAAGAGTTTACTTTAATGTTTACTCAAACAAGTCTGGTGGATAATATTTTGTCGAAAGTTTAAATTAGAGTTTCCGGGCGTCCGAGTTTTCAGGTTTTGAAATTCTAACTGCATTGCGGACAGTTGAAATTCAAGAAAATCTCATGTCATATCCAGGTTTTGAAAGTTTTGGATGTTCTGTCATGATCCGATATTCCAAATCTCGCAAAACGACTTGATAACATTTTAGAAATTATAGAGTCGACATGACGAATTGGTGCAAATGCAAAATCATTAAGGGGTATGTTTCTTACTCGACTTCATTAATTCATCTTAACATATTTGGCAAGTTTGTCGTTTTACTTATGAGTAAAATATGAATACATTACTGAAAATAAAATGAAAAAAAAAATAACTACAAAAGCTTCAAAATTAGAAATATTTATTTTTGTTTTTATATTGTTAATGACTAAAGGATTAATTATATTATTCCTATGAAATTGTTGGTTTGAAGGAGTATATTGAATCTTTCTTTAAATCATTAGAAGCGATGAACCCAGAGAATTAAAAAATCTCACAAGTATGTATATATATTTTTTTTGTACTCATGTTTTAAAAATTCAAACTCTAAATATCTATTTAAATTGCCACACGTTTATATTAATTGTTTAGTATTGTCAACGAATTATTACGTATAAGGATAACTGACATGTTATTATATTTAAAAAAAATATTTTTATAAGTTGGTAATCAATTAAAAGTTAGATTTTTTAAAAAATTTCTATTTCTAGTAAATAGGGATTATATATATTATAATATAATATTATTTTTACATCAATTTTATTTTTATAATGATTATTATTAAATTTGTAAAATTATTTTTTAAAATAAATTAATATGATATATAAATTTTTTAATATATGTATATATTTGTAATGGTAATAAGATATTTTAATTTTAGTAAAATATATATTATAAGATATATTTTTTATTAAAAAAATAATATTAATTAAAAATAATTAAGAAATATTATATAATTTAAAATTTAAATAAAATATAAAAATATTAGATTTATATAGAAGATATGCTTTGTAATAAAAAATGTAGTATTTATTTATAATCAATATATAATTTTTTTATATTAATAATTATAAGTTATGATAGATATATTTTTATATAAATTAGAAATTATTTAATATAATGAGAATATATATTTTATTATGTAGAAGGATATATTTTAATAATTAAAAATTGTGTTATTCGGGTATATGAATAAAAATAAAATTTAAAATATATTAAATAACATAATGACAGCTGGATATGTAAATCTCCGGTCAAAGTCAAACCCTGATTCTCTATATAACTGGAAAATCCCCAAGTTTTCAGAAACAAGAGAAAAAAGAAGAGTAGAAGGTCCCGAAGCAGAGCGCCTCACGGGATGAAAAAGAATTTAAGCCCAACACGACGAAGACGAAGACGAATAATATTTTCAACTATCACCGACAATATCTTCTCTCGCCGCGAGCCTGCTTATCGAGGTATTTTCTTTATCCGGACAATGTTGTCGGCGTTCATGTACCCACCGTCTCTCTCTTCTTTCTTGATTGTATTTGTCGTTTCGGATAAGATCAATAGCGGAACCCATTGATGGGAAAAATTTCCGATTCGCTTGGTACGTGAATCTTTTGATTTTCTTTGGATTTTATCTTCGACTTGATTTGCAATTTAATAGTACTTGGTCTTGCAACATTTCAAGAATTTAATCCCTCCAGCAGTGTTTTCTTTATTGTTTATCGTAGATTCTGGAAAACGCGGGTATCGTTCGTTGAATAGGTTAATTGTGTTTTTGTTTTCTCAATCTTGATGAGTGCGCACCTGTTCGGGGTCTGACGATTCAGTGGTTCCCGGTTTGGTTAAATCCTAAACCGACCCTAGCTCTTGTACCTCCCAACATTCTCTAGGAATGCAGATTTTCCAAAGCTTTTTAGCTGCCGAAAACCCTCACTGAAATCCGAAGGTTCATTTGTCTTTCTCTCTTCCCCTCCGCTGTTATCAATTTTAAGCACAGGTATATGGTGCGATCAGCAATTTAATCAAATCTTTGGGTTTCTTGACGTCTAGTGTGCCCGACTTTTAGAATCGGTATTCTTGCATAAAATCCCCTGAAAATCCTCAATATGTGATTTCTTTCAGAGGCGCAGATTCTCTGATACCCAGATACAGTCCACTGTCCTGCTACCCAGAAGCCTACTTTTTCAGGCTTCAATTAGATTCTTAACCCAAATATCCAGTTCTTTCGAGGAGTAGCTCTTTTTGGTTCTTCTGATCTTGCTTGGTTCTTTTTTTTTTTTTTTTTTTTTTTTTTTTGTGTCATGAGTTTCAGTTAACTCGAGGATATGCTTGTTTGGGCAATATAATATGATCAGTTGCCCGAGTGGAAAAAGTTTCAAGAAAAAATTTGATTTGATTGTAAGCTATGGGTTTCCGGAGAAATTAAAGTGTGATTATGTTTAGGGGGTAAGCTTCTTCTTATGACCTCCAAGGAGAAGTTGAAGACAGGAATTCAATTCTTCTTGAACATAATGGGGTTTAAGAGGGAAATTTTTGCTGAGAACCTGTCTGCTTGACCTACAGTTTTGAAGATAGAATCTTTCCTTGTTACAGGGTTTTGCAGGTTTTGAGGTCGAAAAGTTGTAGCAGAGAGGACTTGAGTTTTAATGAGGTGGTGCTTTTGACAGAAAAGGAGTTCGTGTAGAAGTTTATATCGAGGTCTTGAGATAGTGCGGAGGAATTGTTGGTATGCTACAAATCTCGTCTTTTGGATTTATCTTCTTCTTCTTCTGAGAAGGAAGACTCCTTACTGACACTACTCTCTACGCCCTTCAACTCTAATATGCATCCTTATTCTGCGGTAATGTCATTCTTGGACGTAAACTTAAAATTGAACGGTTAGTATCAATTTTAATGTTTGTTGGTTTTGTGTTTTGTTATTACCGGTGATTAAGTTGGTATGTTTATTTATTTGCATCAATCCTATAGGTATTGTTTCGGTTGTTGCTGTAACTTTTTTGTTTGTTGAACATGAAATTTGAAGGAAATATGAGAAATGTGTGAAAGATAGTGAGGCATCTGTTGCCCAGTTTTCTTTTCCTGCTCATTTTTTATTTTTTTCCTTTTTGCCAGTTTTCTTTTATAATTTCACCCTGCCTCATGTAATCGTTACTCACAATTGGTTGGTGAGGTAATAAGGGAATTTATGCTGGTTGATGTGTGACCTTGGCATGCATGCAAACTTATACTTGGACAATCCATCAATACTTGCGGTAAATGAATACCCAATTTGAACAGTCTATCAAAGTGCATGTTGGTGTGCCTTGACCACTTTTTTTTTGCATTGGATGTTATTACATGAGTTCTTTTCTTGCTTTTCATTGATCACCTACATTATCCAGTGTGTTTGCGTCCTACATTGACTCTATCTAATAGGATATAGGAAACTCCAAAGTGTGTGAGTTGATTTGCATGTATTCTGTGTTACTGGAAAATCTGCCTGTGCAGTGGCTAATATGCCTTTAGGCCTTTTGGTTGCTGGTTGATTATGTTTTGGACTGTTAGAATGCATGCTTAATAGCTCACTTTTTGTTCCTAGGAAAGCAAGAGCATGCAAAAAAAGCCAGGCGAAAGACTGTTTAATGATACTTAATTTGCTGGAAGATTTGTTTTCTAAAAAGAACCTCTTTCTTGGTTGTTGATCTGTTCTAACAATTCCTTCTCATTTGGCTGTTTGGTGGATATTAAATGGCATTTTTCAGCTTGCTACCTCAACCATTATATGGTTTGTTTAACTTTTTGCAATGTGTTATTCTGATTTTTTTCTTTCCTTTCCAAATTTATCACTATTTTTCTTTGTATTGTATCGTTGAGATAGAATTGTCCATTGAATCCTATTGCATCTATCTCCCCTTTTCTCTTTCTCTTTTTATCTCTGATGTCATCGACTTGGAATTTCTCCAAATCTCAAGAAGAGTATCTGATTTGGTTCTTTCGTGTGCTGCTATCACTCCTCTCTCTCTCTTTCCTGCATTGGCTGTTTCATTTTGATTCCCTTCGTATATTTGTTTGATTGAGACTGCAGGTGCCTGATCTTGAATTTTTTTTTTCTTTTTAGATTTATCATCCCCCGTCATAACGTTTATCTCCCTTTTTATCTCTCTCTTTTCCTATTGGATGTCATCAAGTTCGAGTTGCTCCACATCTCAAGAACAGTCTCTGATTCGGATGTATAACATGTCGTTAACACTTCTTGCTTTCCCCTTCCTTCGTTGACTGTTTCTTTATGATTCCTCTCATATCTTTTCTTGGTCAAGACCGTAGGTACACGGACCATGCATCTTTATTTTTTTTCCCGTATTTATAAATATTTTGTTTTGTTTTTGTATTATTGAGATGGAATTGTTTGTTGAATTCTAATGTATCTACCTCCAAAAATTTTCTCAAGTAGGCTTTATTTCCTGTGTTGGCTGTTTTGTTTTGATTCGTTTCATATTTTCTCTTGATCAAGTCTGCAGGTTCTTTTTCTTTTCTTTTCATATATTCTTTTATCTCTGAAGTTAAAACATCAAGCAAGCGTTCTATCAAAATTCGAGGTTAAGACTTTAAATTTCTAGAGCTAAGCTAGAAGAGGAATTCAGATAAGTGAAGCAACAGCTTCTTTCTCTTTCCTTCTTGTGTTTGCTGTCATCAATTTTTTCTTTCAGATTCTTATACCATATTCCTTGCTTGTACCCATACAACACTTTGTAGGTACCCTGTTTTTAGTAAACTATGGTTTGAATTATTCTGTTAGTTATTACAATGTTGCCTCTGACTATTGTGTTTGAATTGCGCGCCACAATATTGGTTTTCATCATATAGCTATTAATTGATTGTGTAGTTCCTGAAAAAGTTTGATATATGATTTAAGAAAAGTAGAGAAGGACTCGATTTCTGAATAATCAAGTTGAACTTTTGCTAGTCAGGTTAGAGACCTTATGAGATCTATCCTTTTGTTGCAGTTTTCCAAGAATCGGTAACGATTCAATTCCAATGATATCCAGTGTCGTAGTGTGCGTACGGTCATATGGCATTGGGAAAGCTCATATGTGGCGTTCCTTGCCTGATTGGTTGTGTTGAAGGAATGAGAGTGAGATGTGTGGAAAAATTGTGAGATGAAAAAAATTATTTGTTATTAGAATTGAGAAAATCAAGTATTGTAAGTTGCGTGTCTGACCTTTGCCATGGCGGGTGCGCTCCCATGGCAGGTCAAAAAGTGTAATAAAATTCGTGTCTTTTTGGTTTTGGGGGGGGTGAGGAGATGGCACGGGATATTAATAAATTATTTTTGCCCGGCTCTCCCTATCTCCCATCTGTCTACCTGTGTACTTTTTTCTTTTTTTAATTCTTATATTTATTTTCTGACGACTAATATAAATTATATACTGACGTAAATTATATAATTTACGATTCTAACCTTTGTCATGGCGGGTCCCCTGGCATAACAGGTCAAAAAATGCAATAAAATTCACCCTATTTTTAGTTTTGAGGGGATTGGGAGATGCGACGGGATATTGAGATACTATTTCGGCTCGGGTCTCCCTATCTCCCATTTGTCTACATGCATACTTTTTTATTTTCGCTACCTCTTATATTTATTTTCTGACCAATTGTATAAATTATATATTTAGATAAATTAAATAATTTATGTGTGTGACCTTCGCTATGATGGGTGCGCTAGCATCGCAAGTCAGCCATACAAATGCAATAAAATTAACGTTTTTTTTAATTTTGAGGGGGTTGGGAGATGACAAGGGATATTAGTACATTATTTTTGCTTGGCTTTCCCTATCTCCGATTTTTGTGTATGTATATTTTTATCTCTTTCCTAACTTTTATATTTATTTTTTGACTAATTGTGTAAATTATGTGTTTATATAAATTATATAATTTAAATTTTTGGCATTTGCCATGACGGATGCGCTCGCATGGCAAGTTAAAAAGTGCAATAAAATTCATGTTTTTTTTTTTTGGTTTTGCGGGGATTGGGGGGTGGTATAGGATATTAATATATTATTTTGGCTCGACTCTCCTTTCTCCTATTTGTCTGCCTGTGTACTTTTTTCTCTTTCTTATTTTTTATCTTTATTTTCTAACCAATAGTATAAATTGTGTACTTATGTAAATTATATGATTTACGTGTTTGACCTTTGCCATGGCAGGTGTGATTGCATGGCAGGTCAAAAAGCGTAATAAATCTCACGTTTTTCTTTTGGTTTTGGGGGGATTGCGAGACGGGACAGGATATTAATATATAAATTGGCTTGGCACGGGATATTAAAATATTATTTTGGTCAACTCTTACTATCTCCGATTTTTCTGTGTAATTTTTTTTCTGCCCTAATTTTTATATCTGTTTGGGACCAATAGTATAAATTATATATTTACGTAAATTATGTAATTTACGTGTTTGACCTTTGCCATGGTGGGTGCGCTCACATGGCAGGTCAAAAAGTGCGATAAAACTCACGTTCTTTTTTATTTTGGGGGAATGAAGAGATCGGACGGGATATTAATATCTAAATTGGCCCGGGTCTCCCTAGCTCCCATTTGTTTGCCTGTGTACTTTTTTCTTTTTGCTATCTCTTATATTTATTTTCTGACCAATGGTATAAATTATATATTTACGTAAATTATATAATTTAATTTGTAATGTATCAGAGTCTCTGGTCACTTTGCTCAGGTAGGGAGGGAAGGAGGTAGGTGCTTCTCCTTCGACATTACGTTCAAGTTAGCTATGCATGAATTTGGAAAGACTGGAAAATGGTTCAGGGTTTTATGGATAACCTTTTTCCTGTTAAAAAAAATTCCGAAGAACCATGTCATTTTCCTTGCTTTGAAGTGGTGCAAGAGAAAAAGAAAACCCATAAAAGACCTAGGCATGCTACAAAGTGGAAGACACGGTATTTGAACAAATGTGTAGAGATTTAACTGATTTTTCAACTTATGGATTCATATCTGCAGATAAAAAAATTCAGAAACAACAATGGCCACTTTTATTTTGTTCCTTTTGGTGTCAAGTAGTTACTTGCAGTATGTTGTTTTTGGAATTCCGTTATGATGGATTTGATGCTGCATTTTCATTACGGTAGTTCTGCTGTTTTCATGATTCATATGAATCCCAAATAATATTTGTTTACATCAAGTTCTGATTTCAGTTTTGGTTTCTCGACATTTCAGGCCTCGTATTACATCAGAAGGCCTGCAAAGGTGATATTATAACATTCCGAGCTCCTTTACGGCTTCTTGATATGGTTGGAGTTTTTCTAATCTGCCAAGAGTTATGATAATAAATTCTATTATGAGACTCCGCTAATAAAGTAAGGAGGAGCTCTTTTGGGTTCTGATCTTGCTTGGTTCTTTTTTTTTTTGTCATGAGTTTCTCAGCTAACTCAAGGAGATGCTCGTTTGGGCAATATCATATGATCAGTTGCCTGAGTGGAAAAAGTTTCAAGAAAAAGTTTGATTTGATTGTAAGTTATGGGTTTCCGGAGAAATTAAAGTGTGATTATGTTTAGAGGGTTAGCTTCTTCTTATGACCTCCAAGGAGAAGTTGAAGACAGAAATCCAATTCTTCTTGAACATAATTGGGTTTGAGAAGGAAATTTTAGCTGAGAACCTGTCTGCTTGGCGTACAGTTTTGAAGATAGAATCTTTCCTTGTTACGGGGTTTTGCAGGTTTCGAGGTTGAGAAGTTGTAGCAGAGAGGACTTGAGTTTTAATGAGGTGGTGCTTTTGACAGAAAAGGAGTTCGTGTAGAAGTTTATATCGAGGTCTTGAGATAGTGTGGAGGAATTGTTGGTATGCTACAAATCTCGTCTTTTGGATTTATCTTCTTCTTCTTCTGCTTCTGAGAAGGAAAGCTCCTTACTGACCCTTTTTTCTCTATGCTCTTGCTCTTTACTGACCCTATTCTCTATGCTCTTCAACTCTAATATGCATTCTTATTCTGTTGTAGTGCCATTGTTGGACATAAATTTAAAATTGAATGGTTAGGATCGATTTTAATGTTTGTTGCTTTTGTGCTTTGTTAATACTGGTGATTAAGCACGTATGTATATTTATTTGCATCAATCCTATAGGTATTCTTTTGGTTTTTCCTGGAACCTTTTTTTTTCGGTTGAACATGAAATTTGAAGGAAATATGAGAAATGTGTGAAAGACAGGGAGGCATCTATTGCCCAGTTTTCTTTTGCTGCTCGTATTTGATTTTTTTTTTTTTTTTTCCTTTTTGCCAGTTTTCTTTTAAAATTTCACCGTTCTTCATGTATTTTTTTTTTCCTTTTTGCTGGTTGCTGTGTGACTTTAGTATACACGCATACTTATACTTGAAGAATCTATGAATATTTGTGGTAAATGAATACGTAATTTGAACAGTCTATCAAAGTCCATGTTGGTATGCCTTGACCACTTTTTGTTTGCATTTGATTTTATTACATGAGTTCTTTTCTTGTTTACATTGATCATCTACGTTATCCAGTGTGTTTGGATGCTCCATTGAGTCTATCTAATCGGAGTATAGGAAACTCAAAAGTGTGTGAGTTGATTTGCATGTATTCTGTGTTACTGGAAAATCTGCCTGCGCAAAGCTTAATATACCTTTAGGGCTTTTGCTTGGTAGTTGATTAAGTTTTGGACTGCTAGAATGAATGCTCAATAGCCCACTTTTTGTTCCTAGGAAAGCAAGAGCATGCTAAAAAAGCCAGGTGAAAGACTAATTTAATGATCCTCAATTTGCCGGAAGATTTGGTTTCTAAAAAGAACCCCTTTCTCGGTTGTTGATCTGTTCTAACAGTTTCTTCTCTTTTGGCTGTTTGGTGGATATTAAATGGCATTTTGCAGCTTGCTATCTCAACCATTATATGGTTTGTTTAACTTTTTGCAATGTGTTATTCTGATTTTTTTCTTTCTTTTTCAAATTTATCATTATTTTGCTTTGTATTGTATCGTTGAGATAGAATTGTTCATTGAATCCTTATGCGTTTATCTCATTTTTTCTCTTTCTCTTTTCATCTCTGATGTCATCGACTTGAAATTTCTCCAAATCTCAAGAAGAATGTCTGATTTGGTTCTTTCATGTGCTGTTATCACTCCTCTCTCTCTCTCTTTCCTGCATTGGCTGTTTCATTTTGATTCCCTTTGTATATTTGTTTGATTGAGACTGCAGGTGCCTGATTTTGAATCTTTTTTTTGCTTTTCAAATTTATCATCCTCCGTCATAACGTTTATCTCCCTTTTTATCTCTCTCTTTTCCTAATGGATGTCATCAACTTCGAGTTGCTCCACATCTCAAGAACAGTCTCTGATTCGGTTATGTAACATGTTGTCAACGCTTCTTGCTTTCTCCTTCCTTCGGGTACTATTTCGTTATGATTCCTCTCATATCTTTTCTTGGTCAAGACCGTAGGTACATGGACCATGAATCTTTTTTTTTTTTTTTTCCTTATTTATCAATATTTTGTTTTGTTTTTATATTATTGAGATGGAATCGTTTGTTGAATCGTAATGTTTCTACCTCCAAAAATTTCTCAAGTATGCTTTATTTCCTGTGTTGGCTGTTTTGTTTTGATTTGTCTAAAGTATGCTTTTTCTTTTTTTTTTTCTTTTCATATATTTTTGTCTTTTTTTTTTTTTTTTTTGAAATAATTTTCATATATTTTATACATTCTTTTCTCTTTGAAGTTAAAGCATCAAATAAGCATTCTATCAAAATTAAAGGTTAAAGACTTTAAATTTCTAGATCTAAGGTAGAGGATAAATTCTGATAAGTGAACCAATAGCCTCTTTCTCTTTCTTTTTTGTGTTTGCTGTTATCAATTTTTTCTTTCAAATTTTTATACCATATTCCTTGCTTGTACTCATACAACATTTTGTGGGTAATTTTTTTTCAGTAAACTATGGTTTGAATTATCCTGTTAGTTATTACAATGTTGCATGTGACTATTGTATTTGAATTGTGCACGACAATATCGATTTTCATCGTATAACTATTAATTGATTGTGTAGTTCCTGCAAAATTTTGACATATGATTTAAGGATAGTAGAGAAGGATTCGATTTCAGAATAATCAAGTTGAATTTTTGCCAGTCAGGTTAGAGACCTTATGAGATCTATCCTTTTGTTGCAGTTTTTCAAGAATCGGTAACGGTTCGGTTCCCATGAGATCTAGTTTTATAGTGTGCGTACGGTCATATGGCACTGGGAAAGCTCATATGTGGCGTTCCATGCCTGATTGGTTGTGTTGAAGGAATGAGAGTGAGATGTGCGGAAAAATTGTGAGATGAGAAAAAATTATTTGTTATTAGAATTGAGAAAATCAAATATTGTAATTTAGGTGTCTGATCTTTGCCATGGCGGGTGCGCTCTCATGGCAGGTCAAAAAGTGCAATAAAATTTATATCTTTTTGGTTTTGGGGGGATGAGGAGATGGCACGGGATATTAATATATTATTTTGGCCCGGCTCTCCCTATTTCCCATTTGTCTGCATGTGTACTATTTTCTTTTTCTAATTCTTATATTTATTTTCTGACAATTAATATAAATTATATCCTGACGTAAATTATATAATTTACGATTCTAACCTTTGGTATGGCGGGTGCCATGGCATAACATGTCAAAAAATGAAATAAAGTTCACCCTATTTTTAGTTTTTAAGGGATTGGGAGATGCGACGGGATATTGACATACTATTTCGACTCGGATCTCCCTATCTCCCAATTGTCTACATGCATACTTTTTTATTTTTCTTACTTCTATATATTTTCTTACCAATGGCATAAATTATATATTTAGATAAATTATATAATTTATGTGTATGACCTTTGCTATGACGGGTGCGCTAACATGGCAAGTCAGCCATACAAATGTAATAAAATTAACATTTTTTTGGTTTTGAGGGGATGGGTAGATGACAAGGGATATTAATGCATTATTTTTGCTTGGCTTTCTCTATCTCCGATTTTTGTGTATGTATACTTTTAACTCTTTCCTAACTTTTATATTTATTTTTTGATTAATTGTCTAAATTATGTATTTATATAAATTATATAATTTAAGTTTTTGACATTTGTCATGACAGATGCACTCGCATGGCAAGTCAAAAAGTGCAATAAAATTCACATCTTTTTATGTTTTGAGGGTATTGGAAAATGGCATGGGAGATTAATATATTATTTTTGCTAGGCTCTCCTATCTTTCATTTGTCTGCCTGTGTACTTTTGTCTCTTTC